CTGAAATGCTCTTGTGTAGTTCAGGCTGTCCTGCTGAGTTTGGTGTTTTGAAACAGGCTCTAGCTGTGTGACCCAGACAAGCTGCAGACTCACTGTGCTCCTGTCTCGGCGTGGAGAATAGAAGGATGCACAGCGTCCTGCAGCACACAGTGTACTACTGAACTGTGCCCCCAGCCTTTAAACACCAAAGTGATCCAGATCTTTGTTTCCTCTGGTTAGTGTTGGTAATGACTTTTGGTCAAGGCTTTTTATCAGGAATGAGGTTCTTGTTTAAAATCTGTCCATCAACCCTGTGAAATTGGTTATAGTCTGTATTTCACAAGTTAAGGTACCGGCATGTGTGACTTCCCTCTGGTAAATTACATAGATAGCCAGTTCTTTGTCCCCAGATTTCTGCATTTCATTTTCTGCCATTCTGAGCTAGAAATTAGAATGTCTAATGTATATAAAGAAAAGCAGCCATGTGACTCATTCACTGGCCTCACCTTGTTAAGGAAGTACCAAAAAATATCACTGGAGTTGTTTGAAATACAGTGTTGTTTATGGTAGTTAAACATGGATCAGCCTTTTTTTGTTTGTTTGTTTTTAATTCACTTTATTTTTTCTTTTGTTTTTTGTTTTGTTTTGTTTTGTTGTTTTTCAAGACAGGGTTTCTTTATAGCTTTGGAGCCTGTCCTAGAACTAGCTCTTGTAGACCAGGCTGGCCTCAAACTCACAGAGATTCGCCTGCCTCTGCCTCCCGAGTGCTGGGATTAAAGGCATGCGCCACCACCGTCCAGCTGCCTTTTTTTTTTTAAAGATGAAACTATTTATTTACTTTCCAAGATAATTTTCTGATTCCTTTTGTCTACATTCTATCTTAAACAGAATTAAAGCATTCTTTTTTTTTTTTTTGAGTGTGTATGTAGCGTGAGCTGAAGAGATGGCTCAAGCGGTTAAGAGCACTGGCTGCTCTTCCAGAGGATCCGGCTTCAAGTCTCAGCACCCACATGGACATATGCAGGAAAAACAATAAGCATTTAAAAAAATTTAAAAAAGAAAGAATGTGTTTGTATAGGTTGCCAGGGAGTCCTCAGGGAATCCAGTCCTTTGGAACTGGAGCTATAGATGGTTGTGAGCTGCCCAGTGTGGGTGCTAAGAACGGAAGTGGTCCTCTTCAAGAACAGTGTACACTTTTAACCACATCTCTCCAGCCCCTAGTGAAAGCGTTCTTAAAAACAGTTTCACATTTTTTAAACAATACAATCTGGGGATTTATTTATTTATTTGAGTCAAAGTCTCACATAACCAAGGTTGTCCTTGAACTAACTATATAGGTGAACTTAAACTTTTGGTCCTCCTCTTTCACTGGCAGAGTGCCAGGATTATGAGCCCGAATCACTGAAAGTCACTTTCCTGGTGTTGTACATTCCATTTAGATATATGTAACCTCTTACACAGCCAGTGTCTTCATTTGGGGTGAAAGTTGAAGATAAATGTATTTCCTGAGAAAGCCTCAATGCCCATGCCCTGATCTGAAATGAGAAGAAGGGCTTTCTCTGTATGAAGCATCTTGGAGATCAGTGGGCTACCAAGCCAAGAGGAAGAAGAACATGTTGATAGACCTTTGTATCTTTCTTTGGTTGAGCGCCCAAAATCTCTATAATATTTGAGAAATACACAAGAACATATTGGGGAGTGCTTTCAGATAGGCTTTCGTTATGTAGCCAAAGCCCACTTGTATTTGTATGTCTAAGTGTGTGTGTGTCCTTGAAAGACTGAAAGAGGGTGTCAGATCCCCTGGAACTGGAATTGCTAAGGGTGCTGGGAACTGTACTCGGATCCCCTTTAAGAACAGTACATGTTCTTAACTACTGAGCCATTTTTCTAGCCTCTGTTTATTTTAATTGTGCTTGTGCCAGTTGTGCTGTCTTGGAACTCTCTGTGTAGACCAAATTGTCCTTGAACAGAGATCTGCCTGCCTGTTTTCTGAGTGTTTGAATAACACCCAGCCCATAGACTTTTTAAATAAAAAGAGAAAGAACAAATTATTGATAGATATAAGAATTGGTTAAATCTGCCTTATTATACCAACAAGCATGACTAAATAGGATTGTGAGTTCAGAGCTAACCTGGCCTATATAGCAAGGGCGTTAGTTAGTTAGTTAATTCGTTAGTTCGCTAGCTAGCTAGCTAGTTAGTTGCTATTTTTAAATTGTGACTAGTATATCCCTAAGGGAGATTTCTTAATAGGTTTCCGTTTGGAGAATATGTTGGGTTATTTACATCTCATGATATCGATCACCTATCTTGGTGCTTTTAACAGCTTTGTTATATAAGGGGCTAGCTAGGTTGGTAGAACTATGGTGTTCTAGAACATGTCTCGACAGATTCCTAAAGTCTGCAGCCCATTTCTGAGGCAGAAGGAAATGTAGCTTTGGCAGTGTGCTCATGACATGAAAATTTACTACAATCAAGAAAAAGTGTCTTGTAATAATTAAATGCTTTAAGTCTTAATGGGGGTATGGATTACATGAATGTTGGCATATAGCAAAATGCATGTAATACCTAAGATCTACATGTTTAGCTGGATATAATATAGTCCCATAAATTAAAATGTCTTGAATGTTTTAAAAAATAAATAAATGCTTTCCTTGAGCTAGGCATGGTGGCGCACACCTCTAATCCACCCAGCATTGAGGAAACAAAGACTCACCCTTGAGTTCAGGGTCATCCTAGACTGGAATGAGACCTTACTGCTAATAACCAAAAGGGAAAAAGTGTTTGCTAAGATTGTGAGGCTCCTTGACAAGCAGGTGTTAGAAGACAAAATGATTGCAAACTGATAACACAGTTGTCATCATCAGAGTCTTGTAGGTAAGCCAGTGGAGTTCGAGCATATATCCTCCCCCCCCCCTTCTGCCTGGACTGGTTATTGCAGCACTGACGGTTATAGCCTGGGCCTCTGTCTCCATCCATTCATATAGAGTAGTGGGTGAAAGTCAGACAGTCCAGACCAAAACAAAACATGGGAGACAAATGGGAGACAAAACTTTTCACAGAAGTTAAAGTAAGTAACTAAAAAAATCAAGCTAATGATAAAAATGCTAACCAAATGGCGCAGTTCAAAGTGTTATGCAAAAAAAAAAACAGTTGCCATCTGCAAAGACCTGCTTGGTTACACGTCCCAAGGTAGCGATCGGCGAGATGAGCTCAGGGAGTCATGGACCTAAGGAACTTTTTGAAATGATGCCAAAGAGTCTTCAGCATGAGAAGGCAGGAGATATCTGAAACAGGAAGCATAGACATGAAATTATTAGTTACTTAGCACAGAAACTGCCTTCCCTGGGCAGAGCAAACTGCTGATTTTATGATTTGAGGGGAATTATGAAACTTAAAGATTGACAACCTTCCAAAGGTAGGAGTAAACTACTGTGGGCTGAAGAAGCACTGTGCCTCAGGTGGAACAGTTGTTGATCAATTGACATTCAGATATTTGTTGTGATGTGCACCGCCATGACACCCCCACCCCTGCGCAGGCTTAGTTACAGTTACCAGTCACCTGCCTTCATGATTGACAAGACAGTAAATATTTACCTAGCTGTTCTGCTGCGACATGGAATGACCAGGACAGTACACAGATGAAGTTGTTCTGAGTCCTGAGCTTGCAGGGTGCACTGTCATCCATGGCTGATGTGTTTCCAGTCTCCATTCTTCTAGGACATTTTCTCAGATGAGAACAGGGGTTTTCTCTGTATTGTTCACTGACTATATTCCTATACTCAGCTACTTCTAGGTGGCTTGGGATGTTTGCTTCCTCTTGTCTTAATATGGCTTGAGGAAAGAGGGGTAGATATATCGTGTTATTGTGAATGTGAAAGCCCTTGGTGATGTTTCTCAGCTCTCCTTTTCTTCCTTTTTCTTTGGATATTCTAATAAAAATTACTTAGTGTTAGTGGGTGCATTCAGATTCTTGGGTCTTAATCTATGAATTGAAGAAGTGCACACATGACAAAGTAGCAAGGTTGTTTCAGAAGCAAAGCAGCAGTACCGGTCAGATGTGCTACCAAAAATGAGTAGACTCTGGGTTAAGAGGCTCCTCCAGGCAGTTGTCTCCAGCCATGCTTTATGGGGGCTTGGAGGAAGAGAAAGAATTGGATTGCAAAGGGAATACCATGGACAGTTTCTCTGTTCTGCTTGACAGGCTTAGATTATGTGAGTAGTGCAAGTTTTTGCTCACAGCCCATGTCCATTCCCATAATGCATCTGATTTTAATACGCAATGCCCAGTTACGGGTAAGCATAAGATAGTATTCTAGGAATTCTCTAAGAGTTCACTGAGCACAGTTTGCCTTCCTGCACATGTGCCAAAACTAGTTCAGGCCAGATCTTCCCTCGTTCCCATTCCTGGACATGTAAAGGAATATATTGGAATAGAAACTATCCAGCAAACAAGACTCCTTGATAGTTGTTAGGGGAGATTTAGGAACTTACTCTATTGTTTGTGTGCATGTAGCTATATACAAGCAGAATCCTAGAATGCTGGGGCTTATTAGTGGATGGGCTGCATGCCTAGTACCTGCTGGTGAGGATCAAGAAGGGCATGTTTATTTCCCAGACAACGTGATGTCACAAATTAATAACCTGTTTGCTAAGACAGAGCTGAAAGTACTGTCTGAAATCTTTATATTTTACTTTGTTACTATTGTGTGTGTGTGACATGCATGTGTGGGCACATGTACCATACGTGACACATGAATGTCAGAGGGCAACTTTGTAGTGGTGGCTGTTACCTTCCACCTTCACGTGGATTTGGAGACTCAAACTCAGGTTGCCAGGCATGCACAGCAAGTGCCACACTGATCCATCACGCTTACCCTTAGCTCTTAATTCTGTAGGAAGTTCATACCATGGTAACCTAGCCTAGTAATAATTTTATGTAAATCTGCTGTTCTGACTGGCTTATAAGAAGCATGTAAATACCAAGACTTACATTTTTTTTCTTTTTCTTCTTTACCAAGGTACTAAGTGTAACACATCTGCATCATGCGTGAATATAAGCTTGTCGTTCTTGGCTCAGGAGGTGTTGGAAAGTCAGCTCTGGTAAGTCATTCTTTCTCAATGGGAGTTTTTTATCCTAAGGTGTTCACTTCTACTGAGGTGTGTTTTGTTTTGTTTTTTGTTTTGTTTTTTGTTTTGTTCTCATGTTAGTGTGTAGCCAGTAGAAATCTTGACTTTGAATTTTTAATTTTCCTGCCTCCACCTCCTGGAATGCCAAAGTTATAGCTTTCCAAGGCCATATCCCATTTTTTGTAATGATAGGGCTAGAACTCAGAGCTCCATGCAGGTGACAATGCTTTCCACCATCTGAACTACAGCTCAGCTTCTGTTGTTAATGCTTTCTGTTTCCTAAGACAGTGTTTGCCAGGTAGACTAGGCTGGCCCTGAACATGTGACAGTCCTCACTTGTTCTGGGATTATAGGTGTGTACTATCACATCTAGCTCTTTTAAAATATGCTTGTAGTTAGTTGTGTTTATCTGATTGAATTAGCCCATAACTTTACAAGCAATACAAGATTTTTCTTGTTTTAGACAATTGTTAGTTGTGTCTGGATGAATAGTGTTTAAGTTAATGAGAACGTAGTTTAGGCTTTCCAGAGTAACAGCCTATTTGTACAGATGTATATTTGCATTTTTAGTGCCATATAAAAATCAACTTTTTTTTAAATTTATAAATAGGCATTTGCAATTAGTCCTTTTCCAAATCTTTGACTATCTGGTTTTGCGTGATTTTAATGAGCATATTTTCACTAGCAAGGAAGACGAGCAGATTGATACAAGGACTGGGGAATGGAGAGACAGGATCACCTTGAGTGTACCTGAGCAGTGTGTGCCTGCACTCCCGCTCAGGGCTAGAGCGAGGTCCACACAAGCACAGAACGACTTTCTCTTTACCCCTAGTGAGAGAAACCGACTTTCTTGCTCATTAAAATAGCCACCTAACGCAGAACTTGTCCACACTGATATCAAACTGAGAAGTGTAACGTGGCATTTGCTTTGCCTTTTGTATCTACAGTGATGGGGAGACGTTTATTTTGTTTATGGGTTAAAGTTACAGTGCCAGAGCCTTGCGGTGGTGGAGCAGCACTCAGGACGGCAGACAAATCTCTGTGAGGCCAGCCTGGTCTGTAGAGCAAGTACCAGAATAGCCAAGGCTACACAGAGAATCCGGTCCCCAAAACAAACAAACAAACAAACAAACAAAATTGCGATGCCAACAAGACATACGTGCTGTTTGAATAGCTGTTGTACTGTTTACTACCGGTGGATACAGTGACAAAATGTGGTGTCTGCTCAGTGTACACACAGTCTGATTTGTCCTTTTCCCCAAGTACTTTCGGTCCATAGTTGTTTAGATCTGAGGTTATGGAACCCGCAGATCCAAATAGTTAATAGTTTAGTACTACATATTTAAGCTGGGCTTAGTAGTTTGGGCCTGTAATCCAGTACTTGGGTGAAGCCAGAGGTCACTACCAGGTCAAGGTGAACTTAGTCTACAAACTTAAGTTCCAGGCTAGCCAGAGATACATAGCCTGTCTCAAGTAAATAAATAAAATTTACATATTTGGGTTTCTTTGTTTTTTCTTTAGAAATGTAATATTATGTTATTTTTTTTCCAGACTGTACAGTTTGTTCAAGGAATTTTTGTTGAAAAGTATGATCCTACGATAGAAGATTCTTATAGAAAGGTATGTTGCTTTCTAAAAGCCTTTTGATTTTAATACAATTGTAAATAATTTTAGTTTGGAGCTATCAAATGTTTTAGATACACTGATGACGAGGTGCTTGTTAATTAGAAATGCTCGTCCTTGGCATTCCTTGTCCGCTGCCCAGAAACTTGTGAGCGTTTACACACTCGTTTGTAGAACTTTCAGGGTATTCTGACCCCAGAATTGTAATTGGACTGTCACTTCAAGTGGCAGCCCCATTTTCCCAGGCCTCACTCACTGGAAAGAGTGGCCTGCAGTTCTCTCTAAAGATAGCCTACAGTGAGTGCCTACCCTTGCCACCTACAGCCACAGCAGAGATGAGTCCCGGTGTTTGTGAGCACAACACGTGTTGATAAAACAGTGTACAAACATTTTTAATGTAATAGTGTGAGAGTTGTATCTGCTTTTCTGTAGCATCTGGACCTCCGATTTTGAAATTACTGTGTTTCCCTCTTTCCATTTACCTACCACAAAACTGGAAAAGCTTCCTGCACCGCAGCTGTGAGGCAGAAGTGGTCTTTTTCCTTCTGATCTAATTCTAAATAAATTTCATTCCTAGGAAATAGTAGAAAGAATAACAGGGATAGATGCTTTATTTTATAATTAAGACACTTCTTCCTTCTCGCCAGAAATTACGTCTGTTGATGACAAAAAGTGTCTAGGAAGATCGGGTGGTGGTGACACACACCTTTAATCCCAGCACTCAGGAAGCAGAGGCAGGCAGATCTCAGTGAGTTTGAAGCCAGCCTGGTCTACTTAGCAAGTTCCAGGACAGCCAGGGCTGTTACACAGAGAAACCCTGTCTCAAAGGGAAAAAAAAAAAAAAGGTGTCTAGGGAAATAAAGACACACCCAAAGCATTATAGGAAAGCTGACAGGAAAAACCAATGCTGACACTGTTGGAACCATTGCTTTTCTGCTTAAACTGTTTTGAAAGCATTTCTATTCTAAAATTAAGTGTTGAGTGTGTCACACTGTGGCTGAATCTTAGTTACGTCTCAGTACATGTAATTTGCAGCTGACTAGAATGGGGGCTTTGGAACTTCATTACTGTTCAGTTGCTGCAATAAACACTAGGAGCAAGGCAGCTTGTAGAGCTTGTCCATCATGCAGCGGGGACAGAGAGCAAACTGGGAACAAACGGTGGCTTTGAAACTTCAAAGCCGGTCCTCTGTGTTATCCTTCCACCACTCCAGACCTCCCAAACAGCAATGCAAAGTGGGAACCCAGTGCTCACATGCCATCACCACGGGGCCGTTCTTATTAAAACTGCCACAGTGACTAAGCTAGTTCTAAGTATTGCTCAGTATTACCCTGTAAAGTTGCCATAATCTATATCTGTTCTAATCTTAACTGTTGTGGGTATTTTAAGGTTGTTTTACATGCATGAAAACTAAAGAACTATTTTAACTTTTTCTTCAGCAAGTTGAAGTAGATGCACAGCAGTGTATGCTTGAAATCCTGGACACTGCAGGAACGGTATGTAAGTTAAATTATCAAAGGATATGCAGTGTGCGTCAGTTTTTAAACGGTGCGCTTTATGGATGGAAGGATCAGTTATTGGAGAAATTTTTAAATGCCAGAGTGGAAAATCTCATGGCCTGTGGTTGTGTTGATCCCTATAAGACAGTATGTTAAATATTTCAGATAATGTTGACAATGCTTAGATATACATTTATTCTTTGGCCATATAAACTGTTTTGATTGGTAGTTGTCCTTGAAAGTACTTTTAAATAACTGCATCAACTCTATTACTGTCCTGAAATGCCTATGGCCAGCTAACTTTATGAATGGAGATTTGTTATGGTTTGTTCTGAAGATGCAAGTTCTAGGAGCAAAATCTGGTGGTGGCTTGTTCCTGACAGAGCCTGAGGCAATACTCATTAAGTGACAAGACACAGAAACATACATGTCTGTGTTTCCCCCTTCCCTTCACCTGTAAGAAGCCACCATATCCAATCCTAACTGCTTTCCAGTGACCTCACCTCTTCAGTTCATAAACTCAAGTTTCTACCCTCTGGATGCCTCAGAATCAGGGTAAAATTTTGGCACATGAAGACTTTGGGACTACTCAGTCTATATCCACACTATAACAAGTTTGTAGGTGTCCAAAAGTAAGGGAAAGGGTGTGACCATGTGGTACACCAAAAGTAAGGGAAGGAGTATGACTAAGAGTGTGACTGTGTGGCACACATCAGCTTCTTTCGCGCAGATACCCACACCCTAGGGAAGAGGTTTAGAGAAATGATGAGATCACGATGTGATAGGTTCAGAAATTGCTTTTAACTCTGGACGGTGGTGGTGCACACCTTTAATCCCAGCACTTGGGAGGTAGAGGCAGGTGAATCTGTGAGTTCAGGGACAGCCACGGCTATACAGAGAAACCATGTCTCAGAAAACAAAGTTTCTTTTAGAGACAAGATGTCTTCTTCCAGTTGAGCATGTATTATATATAAATCTGTGGTGTCGTTTTTTAAAAGACCTTTGTTATGCAGATATTCTCAGACCGTATTTTGCTATAATGTGTGATTTTAAGGAATGTTACATAATACTCCAATATTCAATAGGCTGCTATGTGTAGGTTTGAGAATTATCTAATTTGGTATCAAAACACATCCTTGTCTTTTAATCTTTCCTCTGTAGGAACAATTTACAGCAATGAGAGATTTGTACATGAAGAATGGACAGGGCTTCGCTTTGGTTTACTCCATCACAGCGCAGTCCACGTTTAATGACTTACAAGACCTGAGAGAGCAGATTCTCCGGGTTAAAGACACTGACGATGTAAGCATGCCTCTGTGGTAGATGCCATCATCTCCTACACTTCTGTAGCTGAGAACTTGTGAAGTTCTGTTTTTCTATCAGATTAAAGTATTTATTAAAAAAGATTGTTTCTTTTAGGAACCTAGATTCTTGTTTTCCTTGTTTGAAATTTTCCCCCTCCCAAAAAGTCCTTTAAGAGCTGATTTTTAAGTGGCCTTTAGTAGTTTATGATTTTCCCTATACTACTCTTTGAAAACTACAAACATTAGAGAGATGCAAACAGCGTGATGCCACTAATAAGTATGTTGACTTCTACTAAGTTGATTTATTTCATCATAGATATGAAAGTGAGAGGTTCCAGCTCAAACCGTGAAAAGCTGAAGTCACTATAGGAGCTATAGAAGCTGCTATAGGGGCCTCCTTAATTTCTCCTTTTTGTGTTGTGTGATTCATTAAATGTATGTCAGAAACCAAAAAAAAAACCATGAGGTTGAGTCACACTGTTAAACATTTTGTTTGAAATACGCTGGCTTTTCAGGGTAGCGCCCTTTGTGCTTCCCCTTTAAAGGGGTGTTTGTGATTGCTGTGATTAAGTCCATCGTGGCATAATTCTCCCTGTTTCGTAAGCAGTTTAGAGTGGGTCTTTATTGCTGTATCTGTTTTACCCTCACCAATGTCTTTGTAGGTTCCGATGATTCTGGTGGGCAATAAATGTGACTTGGAAGACGAAAGAGTTGTAGGGAAGGAACAAGGTCAAAACCTAGCAAGACAATGGAACAACTGTGCATTCTTAGAATCTTCTGCAAAATCAAAAATAAACGTTAATGAGGTATGTGCACATGGACTTAGGGAGCTTTTTATATTTAGTGTAACATTTTAAATTACTGAAAAGGGGCCTTCCTGAGTATTTGAGAGAGCTTACTGTTACAGAGAAGCCTAGGTGCAGTTCCCACACACATGACAACATATTATCATGTGTATGTGTGGGCCTCTGCTTGCACATAATAATAAACTCATGAGGACACATGTGTAACAGAATCTTAAAGAATGTTCAGTTAATGGGAAAGTGCTGCAGTAGAACTCTAGGTTAATATGTGCTCTTACAGGCAGATCAGTCTTGATGAGCATGTGCATGTCAATAAGTAGCAGTGTTTCAGTTCTTTGTGATATGTATGCAATGCAATTACTGTTAAAGGGAAAGTTGGGTGGAAGGCCAGTGTGGGAACACATTAAATTCATTGAGTATTGGAAGGAAAAGGCAGAAAGACACACATGGTTCTTGAAGGGAGTGAAGCTGTTTAGAGCAAAGGCATACGGAAAGATCTGAGACAGTAGAGGCTTTTTTTTCCTCTCTCTCTTCTCTATTTTGTAGGATAGGAGAGATCTAACTGAATTGAGTAGAATTCTGCAGCTCCTTCAACTAAGAACTTACTTTAAGGAAATCAGTTTTAAATTTTTCCCAAAAAAAAAAAAAAAAGAACTTGGTACTTGAAAAGCACAGGCTTTACTAGCTCTGCAAAGGAACACTGGCTTCTGGGGTTCCTTATGGCTGTAGGGATTGCCAGGAGATTTTGTTTGTTTTTGCTTCACTTTTTTATTTTTAGGTTTTGAGCTTGTTTTTCCCTCTTAAAAATAACAACAGTAATAATAATAATGTATTTGCAGATCTTTTACGACCTAGTGCGGCAAATTAACAGAAAAACTCCAGTGCCTGGCAAGGCCCGCAAAAAGTCGTCGTGCCAGCTGCTTTAATGCCCTGGGTGTGTTGTAGCTCTGAGCCAGGTATGTTATGTTCCTTTTTTTTTTTTTAATTTATTTACTTATTATATATACAGTGTTCTGCTTGCACACCAGAAAGAGCACCAGATCTCATAACAGATGGTTGTGAGCCACCATGTGGCTGCTGGGAATTGAGCCCGGGTCCTCTAGAAGAGCAGCCAGTGCTGTTGACCACTGAGCCCAGTCCCCTAAAATTGTATTTCTTTACCTATCATCAGAACTCAGATATTTGAGATGTAATAGAAGAGAAAGACAGTTTTAGAATGTGTGTGGTGTGGCAACTTAAGCTTGTGATGCCTCCACTCACCTAGGAGCAGGGAAGACACTTCAGAACAAGCCTTTGAGGCAAAACAGATGCAGAGCCTGGGCTAAAGAGTCACTCTGTCTGTACTGAACTCCAGAATTATGAGCCATTGCAAGCTCTACAGGTCGTGCCCCTGGCAGAACCAGGATTTCAGTAGATTGCCTCACTTCTGACTCCGTGGTTTCCGCCATGCTGTTCTGGGTTCTCTAGAGTTACATGAGCCGGGGCGCTAGGCTGGTATGTTAACTCAGAGTTTAGGGAAAGTCTGTCAGAATTGGAATACAGGAAAGGGCAATGCTGGAGGAAGGGTCCTCGGCAGAGAAAATAACCACAACCTCGGAGTCTAACCAAAGAAAGACTATGGGGACATGACATTCTTTATAAGTTATAAAAACAGTCATTGAGTAAGATCGGTGCTTATAAAGTAAGATCATTGTCTGTCGCACGGCAAGCACTGTCTACTCTCTCGTTTGCCCATGGCAATTATCTCCTATTTGGTGAGCATTAAAGCGCAGTGCCATTATATCTTTACCTTGAGAAGTTTTGGGGTTTTTTGTTTTATTTTGTTGTTTTGTTTTGTCTTTCTTTATTACATAGCTCTGGCCGTTCTGGAACTGGCTATGCAGACCAGGCTGGCCTTAAACTCCCACAGATCGGCCTGCCTGGGATTAAAGGCATGCACTACCACAGCTGGCTCCATTTTGAGTTATGTCTTATTTGCTGAGGCAGGAAAGGTTGCCAAGTTCAAGGGCAGCCTGTGCTATATATCAAGTGCGCATCTCAAGTGAATAAAAGGAAAAAAATATTTCAGCGTAGGCATGTGTTTATAGTCACACAAGTAAGCAGATTTTGGCCTGCTCCTTTTTTGTTTGTTTTGGTTTGGGTTTTTTGAGACAGGGTTTCTCTATGTAGCTTTGGAGCCTGTCCTGGAACTCACTCTGTAAACCTGCCTCTGCCTCCCAAGTGCTGGGTTTAAAGGCCACCACTGCCTGGCTACCTGTTCTTATTTTGTAAGATTCTGGGTTTTGTGTACAAGTGTTTTGCCTGCTGTATATATGAGTACTGTATGCATGCCTGGTGTCCAAGGAGACCAGAAGAGGGTGTCGGATACCCTGGAATTGGAGTTACAGGCATTTGTGAGCAGCCATGTGGGTGCAGGCTCCTCTGGAAGAGCAGCCAGTGCTCTTTACCATTGAGGTGTCTCTCCAGCCTTAAATTTGTTTTGCTTTTTAATCTTTGGAAAGTAATATGCAGAAAGTTATACAGAGCATTTTTCTGCTTTTGGCCTAGAATTTCCATTTGTGTGGCTTCCGGGGGGACAGTGATGTATACTGCCATCTTTTTTGGAATAAAGATAAAAAAATTTCTTATCCGTCATTAATTTCATGACTAGAATCAGAGCCTTTGTCTACTGTTTCCTTAATTCCTTGTTGTACAGTTTCAGTTAGTGTATTTATTTCTTTCTCTTCCACAGGTCTGAAGAACTGTTGCCCAATTCAACAGTGCCAGCATTCCAACTTTGTAAACCTACCAACGTCTTCACTGGACTTTCCTGTGGTGGTGCCCTTGAGAGGCGGATGAAAGCCACTGTATCAGTTTGCACATTCTAATCACTTTCCAGTATCACAAGAGATTTTTACTTCTATAATAGGTTCTAGAGTATGCAGCTGGTCAGACCAGAGGCTACATCCAGTATTACTGCTAAGAGACATTCTTCATCCACCAATGTTGTACATGTATGAAAATGGTGTACTGTATACTTTACCACACCCCATACTTTGTATTGGAGAGTACAATAATGTAAATCCTAAAAGCACCACTATTTTAGCATAATAAAAGAAAGTCCAAAGAGCTCCTATATAGACTACTCCAGATAACTTCGCTTCTTTGATACTTGTAGCTTATTGTAATTTTTTTTTAAATTCAAGGTCATTATCATTGTATTATACAAAAATAAGCGCTTTGATTAACACAGCTATATAGTTTTTTTAATTTTTCAAAATCCTGTGGAGACAGTGATCTTGTCTTTAAAATATGATAGTCCTTTCAGTATAATGTCTTAGATTAAAGACGTTGCCTTTAATATCTGTTGGGAAGGAAATGTCCAGACTTTTCAGATCTCCTTATTATATGTTTCCTTTTTTGTTTACATAGGGAACAATGTTTATAGTTGTGTGTACAGTGGGGGTCTACAACAAGAAGTGTATATTTTCAAACAATTTTTTAATGATTTAACAATTTTGTAAATCATTTCCAGGCTTCTGCAGCTGTAGATTCTCACTGTGACTCCCTTGCTTGCTCATGCCTACGTGTGTCTGCAATACCAAATACACAGGGGTAGTGCTTTTGCCTGTTAGTGATTGTTTCTCATGTGTAACGTTTTGGTTGAGATGTTAAATGGTGGACGAGTACTGTGGATGTGAATGTGGAAAGTAATTTTAATCATGTGTAATTGGTCACAAGGCCTAACTGCAGTAACTCCTGCTGTTTTATTTAACAATGCCTTGTTGCTTTGTGTGCATTAACGTTTGAGTGTAAAGATTGTGTGTCCATCCAACAGGGAGCCACAGTGTTTAAATTGACCAACCTGATGTTACAAGGACTTTGAGGTGGCCAAATGTAAACTAAAAGCCTTAATTAAAGTGGTGCAATTTTGTATAACTTAGCATCCGTAGTTCAATAAATTTGGATTGCCGTGCAAGGGCTTGCATTATAATTACTTGCCACTTGAATGTGTTTTGTGTAATGTTTTAACAGTGCTAGTAAATAAATATGGGTTTACCTTTTTAAATGTAATAGGTGTTATTTTACACAGTGTGATTTCATAATTTATAACTTACAGGTAAACCAGACTCTTAAATCCAAGATGTCAGGATTTGGTTTGTTTGGGTTTGGGGGTGTTTTTTCCCTAGATTTGTTTGGCTATCCACATAAAACTACCCTTTGAACTTTTCCTTGAGAAAGAATGTTGTGATTCAAACAGTATTACACATGAACAGATGCCTTTGGCTGGTGTTCAGTGGCCCTTTGGGCTGGGGAAAAGGAGGAAGGATTAAATAGTTTGGGAACTACACTATGTTTTTTTTTTTTATGCAGAATGCAAATCTTTGAGAAACTAATACACAGAAGTTTGCACCAATTAAGCTTAAAATATTAATAAGGTTATAAAATTTTTTGATATTAACTCTTGCTACTTTTCTTTTATATAATAGTGTTTGTCTCCTGTGTGCTATAATTGAATTCTGTGAAATTTGTAAAGAAGCTCTTACACTTTCTCATAGCATTTACCAGCTTCTGGAGCAGTCACTTAAGTGGTACCTTCTAATTTGCAGGTGTGTGTCAGTCCTCAACACATGCTGTTTGAAATGGGACATTAAAGGCTTTCGTTTTAAGACAGTCTTACTCGTTATATATTTATCACCAAGTTCTATCACTAAGAGGCCTAAAGTAAATGTTCTTAGAGACACTCCTACTTCGTTATCCTTGAGAGACATGTTTTAGTAAAGCTTGTTTTCTTTATAATCACTTGGGGATGCCCTCAAAACTGGGACACTAAAATTATTTCAGTGTAGCATTCTGTTGATCCATTGAAGGTACCACTGTCCTTCATGAGCAGTGAGTACTCCTTCAGCGAATAAAACTTAAGTGTCAAGAACTGTTCTAAGCCAGGCGGTGGTGGTGCACGCCTGTAACCCCAGCACTCGGGAGGCAGAGGCAGGCGAATCTCTTGAGTTCGAAGCCAGCCTGGTCTACAAGAACTAGTTCCAGGACAGGCACCAAAAACTACAGAGAAACCCTGTCTTGAAAAACCTAAAAAATAAAAAAATAAACTGTTCTAGGGTTTGCTAGGATCACGGATATAGCAACAACCAAGATCAACTGAAGTGCCCTACTAGAGTCCGTTCTGTAAGATTTCTTAGCCCTACTACTGTTGACATTTGGTGCTAGGTACTGTATTGTGGGAGTTGCCCTATGTATCATCGAGTTTTAAGCTAACATCCCTGGGTATCTGCCCACTAGAGGTGATAACACCTCCCACGCCCAGGTTATAGTGAATGAAGGCATCCAGACATCAGATGTGCTTCCATTCTGCTGAACCAGAAGTCACTGTGGTTTAGAACCGCTCCAGTGGAGGAGTATAATATGACCACTTTACTATGGTAAGGAAGAATATGGGATCAAGAACCAGTGCTAGGATTTCTGGGTGTCTAATCCTACCGCTCTAATTCCATTCTGTGTGACCGTGTGGTTAGGTGCCTTTTCTCTCAAACCCAGGGCTTCATGCATTCCACAGTCTGGGCTACAGCCCCACAGCCTTCCTTTGCTAAGTGAGGGTGCTAACAGCATGCGCAGGAATTAATGCTCATGTAGTCCTGTAGGTCAGTTTTGCTTTTTTTTTTTAAGATTTGTTTATTTATTATGTATACAGTGTTCTGTCTGCAGACCAGAAGAGGGTACCAGATCTCATTACAGATGGTTGTAAGCCATCGGGTGGTTGTTGGGACTTCAACTCAGGATCTCTAGAAGAGCAGCCAGTGCTCTTAACTGCTGAGCCATCTCCAGCCCTGTAGGTTGGTTTTATCCAGCTGCTTAATTCTAGTAGACTGTGGTTGTATGAAGAACCATTTCTCATGTACTGCAGAAAAACTGCAGCCAAGGTATGAAAATAACATGTAGATGGGCTTCCCTGGTAGTTGGAATAATAGGAAGATAGAAAAAGAACAAGGGACAGAGTCCGTGGTCATGCTCCCAAGAACAGCTGGGAAAGCTGGACTCTAGGAACCACTTTTTCATGTGCTTTTATAAGAACGTTGAAAAATTGTGGGTTTGTTTTTCTGCATGTGTGTGTATGGTATGTAATGCATGTTTGCATGTGTATGGAAGCACATGGTGTGTCCCAGTATGTGTGGAGGTCAGAGATTTGTGTCCCCAAAATCATTCCATAGCTTATATATCAAGCCAAAGCCACAGGTCCTGCTGGCGAGCTAGCTCGTCTGCGAGCACTGAGTTACAGTCAGCCACCACAGCCTGGAAGCCCTGCACCTCCTCCTGAGCTCTCCCTTCAGGCCCTAAACAGCTGTATGGGTTTACGTTATTTCAGGGGGTTTTCCCAATTAAACATATAAACATAGACTGTTTACTGTGAATTGACATTAAAAATTCCTTTGGGAAATTTAGTTTGACTTTCTTCCTTTAATCTTCTCATCTTAGATGTGGATGACAAACATGTCATTGGTACAAGTGTTCTTTTTAGCTACTTTACTGTGTGTCTTCATTGAATGCAAACCCCAAGCAAGGCTGGAGGTATGGCGCGGTGTGCTTGACTAACATGTACAAAGACTGGCATGTGGAAATGGACGTTATAATATTCCTACTACCTTAAAAGTAATCGTTTATCAATTGGTCTCTCAAAATGTCAGTGTGCTTTAACTTTGTGGTTTATAGGAGAAGTTTATTTTAAAAATCAGTTATGTTACGGGGCACCTGTGATGGACCTGGGTTAGCCTTGTCTTCCTCACTGTTGTTCATGAGTGAGGTAATTGTCTGTCTGCAGTCTTTGGCCCTGCAGCATCTTCAGTGTTTGACTTCTCTGGAAACTACACGCTCATCTTGAGGATTTCTGTGTGAGTAATCCTGAAGATAAAAGGTTACAGCAGCTTTTTAGTAGGCAGAGAACAAAAGGCCTTTTGTGGTTTTGTCATCTGCCTGTTACCCATTCGGATTTCTATTTATAGTGTGGTAGTTTGTGTCCCCTGGGAGTACAAATTTCAGAATAAGGAACTATCACTGTCAAACTTAGAATGTGCTCTAGGTCTGGGGAAGAAATGATGAGGTAAAGCCGGTGTCCGCTGACAGGTTTAGCAGGTTACTCATCAGTGGGAAGGACCAGCCACAGTCGTGAGTCTGCTGCAGTTGCCCCAGAGTTGAGTTAGACTTAACCCTGAAGTAACTTGGGAATACTGTTCTGGTAAGAGGAGGAACCAAAAAAAAAAAAAAAAAAACAGTGGCTGGAGAATTGGTAACTATTAACCAATTGGGTCTATACCTTCCTAATGCTGCACCCTTTAATACGGTTCCTCATGTTGTGGGGACCACCCAACCATAACATTACTTTCATTGCTACTTCATAATTAATTTTGCTGCTGTTATGAATCACAATTAAATATTTTTGGAGCTAGGTTTGTGATTGAGAATGACTGGAATGGCTGTTTGAACAGTTGCCTTTACTACTAGGAAATGTGGGTGAAGTTTATTTTCATAAGAGCTAAGTGTGAAAACCTGGTATAAACAGACTTGGGATGGTAAGGACTGGATTACACGAGTGAATTGATGGGCAGAGGTGTCGACAATTGTGAATGTCATTCCTCACCATACACGTCACGCCGTTTCTGCTCATATACTTCCTGGTGAGGAATTGACTGCTAATTCATGGAAGTGATGGCATGGTTTTTGTACCAGGCCTTTGCGTGTCTGCACCAGCCAAGTGCCCCAGGGCTACTGTTAGCAAGCATTCAAGTTGATCTGTGTAACATCTGCCAGTCCAAGCCACTAGCACAGATGTGGCACTCCAGGCTTCCTCCACACACCTTCCCAATAATGGACACACTTTATTCTTAAATGATACTTTGGTCCAGTGTCAGAAATGTTTTAGAGATAGATCATTAACTGGGTTTTCATAGTGAACCATACCATACCTGATTCTCTGGAGAAAATATATTTGTGTCCTAAACAGTAGGGGTGTCCTAATAGATGTGAATAAAGCCAGAGAAGTGCACTCTCGTGTTCCCAAATCAAGCCTTCAGCCGGATTGCACACTCGGCTAGAGGCACTAGCAGAACGCCCATGCTTGGGCGTTTAAAGATATTTGTGATGTCATTCAAAGTCCATCTGGATAATCCAAGGTAATTTGCGATGCCAGAATAACTATGGGGGCCATTGTCAGCAGACCTCCCTAAAGGTCAGAAGTGTCTCAGGCAGTCCTGGATTTAAACTGTTCTGCAGGAGTTCTGAGCAATCCTAGGATGAGGTAAAACATCGGTGAGTCACTACCCTAGCAGACATTTGATCCACAGAAGAAAAGTGCTTCTGAGCCTAAACAGTGGTGTTTATTTGCAAGGTTTTAATTCTACCCTGTCCTGCTGGCTGCGTAGAGGGGGTTTATTTTAAGAAATGAGATAATACGGGTATGGTGATACGTGCCTAAAATTTTAGTGTTCAGGAGGGGGAGACAAGACACCAGCCTTGACTACATCAAAACCTGTCTTAAAGGAGAAAGGGCATTCCATGGTAAAGCTTTTGTCCAAGACTATAGGATTGATCTTCAGCAAATATTCCAAAGGTGGGGAGGGGCATGGTAAGGAGGGAGTGAAGGAATTAAATGATCTCAGCTTTGAACTCTTTCCTCAGCTTACAGCCCACTTTGATTCTCAGGAGTTTTTGTTTATTTTTATTTTTTAGCTCTCACTCTTGTGTCTTTTACATTATGCATCTCCATCCCTTCATATCCACCCTCTGCTCTTGCAACTTCCTCCAAAAATAAAATTTAAGAGAAAAAAGAAGGAAAAAAAGAAAGACCAGTCTTCTTACGGAAGCTGTAGCATGACACAGTGAGTCATTTAGTAAATCCTTTTATACATATATACATATATGTACAAGTGTTCATTGCAAAGATTCATTGGTCTGGTTTGAGGCCTCCGGTTTCTGCTACACTGTTGATGCTGGGCCCCCACTGGGACTCCTTGGTTATCCTGATGGTGCCCTGTGTTGTGGAGATCCTGCAGCTTTGGGTCTACAGG